AAATTGCCAGAGTCGTTTAAGCTCCCAAAGCCCCAACAATTCCTTACTGAAATGAACCCGCATTGTAGCGCTATTGTACCTACTTGTAACAACCCTCATACTGTTTACTGACTTATGACTGATTGATTACCGATAACCATCGATTACCGTTAAACTGAATTGATTATTACTGATAATTGAACTGATTATAAGTACTGAACTGACTGACTGAAATTGAAAACCGAATTGACTGAGTACATGTTAGTTAATTGCATTTTATCTGTTGACAGTACGATTATCTGTTCATGTTCATATGTTTAAACTACTAATTGAAGGCCTTATCGGCGACCGAAATCGGAATTCATTAGTGTTTTATGATCCTCATAATTAATGTGATTTTATAGTATAATTGTCTGAAAACTGATTAGGTATGATTAAATTAGATTAAAATGAGCTAATTAAAGAGTTCGGTTTATTTACCATATTGCCACCCTTAGTGGCACACTACCTAGTGATGCTAGAGCCTTGCATCCTTGAGCCAAAAACATTTCCATCAGCCATATCTCTTGTTCTAGCCGACCATGAGAGGAGAGTTAGAGGGAGAGGGAATTGTTCTTGTTGATTTGGCTTGAATTGCTTGGTAATTGAAGAAATTGTTGAAGTGATTGCATATTTGAGCTCCCTTCTTGAAATACAAGACTAAAGGTAGCTCCATTGTCTTCTTATTCATGTTTTGAGTGGATTCTTGCATGGTTCATGTTAATTTGTAGAGCTAAGTCATGATTTGGTTCATTAATGAAAGAGAAAAAATAGTGTGAACTATATGTATATTTTATTCACATTTCACCTCACTTTTCCTTTTCTATTTTCAAATTTCTCTTTAAATTTCCCAATCAAACATAATATAAATGATATAAAACAGTTTGAAGCCAGTTTACATCCAACATCGAGATTGAAAAGGGTTAGATCCTCTCTGGAGATTGATCGGAAAAAGGAGAATGTTTAGAGCATGAAAAGTGTGTTGAGCATGAAAAGAATGGTCTTCAACTTTAGGCTAAAACACTGGTTACCAAACTTCAACACATCTCGCAAAAAAAATTTAAAAAAAAAAAAATCTCAAATATTAATTTAGTCATTATTATTGTAAAAACATATTAATTTTGAATAAATTTTATTCTGCTATTAGATGTCATTTATAATTCAATAGAATTTGTTGACATAGCATTGAAACTTCATTTTATCTTCAAATTGTTCCTAAAATATGAATTACAGTTGTGATGTGAATAACAAAACTAAACTTACATACATAATAAAGCAAGAAAAATAAATTTTCAATGGTGGTGAAAGGGCTATCGAAGGTGGTATGTGACGGAAATAGACAGGGTGACTAGGAACGGGTTTTCGAAGGTAGGAAGTGTAAGGGTGGTTGGAAAGAGGGATGTCGGAGAAAGTGGTGGTTGGGACGAGAGTTTAAAGAAGTTAAAGTATAGTTAAAACTAGTGAGTATATGCTGTTAAATTTGTAAAATATCTATAACTTTAATTTTGATTTAAAAAAATATGTTGTATACTATTCAAGTAGCAAAGATGTTTTATAGTTCTTTGAGCCCCCACCTTTACTACTTGAAATTTGGAGTCCACATCTCCAATAAAATATAATAAGTAAGGTTTCGTTTTACAAATTTTTTTAATGCATAAAAATATTTAGGGTAAATTACACTTTAACCCTTTTTGGTTTGCCCCAAAAACACGGAGCCTCCCTGTAATTTCATCTGTAACACTTAAACCCCTAAATTTAATACTAAACTGTAATTCTGGACGGACGTAACATAAGTAATAAAAAGTCATAAATGCCCTTAGATATTTTCCACTCAGTCATTTTATTTGTATTACTTTGTATCTCTATTTCCATCTTCTCTCTCTCTCTCCATCTTCTCTCTCACTGTGAGCTCCGTGTCACCACCACCTTTCAACACCAAGCCAACATGTGCATCCAATTATAGCATGTCAAGCTATATCAGCAGACATGCTAGCTTGAATACAACATTTGCAACGTGCACCATGCGCGTGGACCATATTCCTCTCTTGCCCAACGTCGGATACCATGCTTACAGCTTCACTACCACCCTCATCCCCATCTCACAACCTTATCACCGGTGACGGCTGGTCAAATACAACAAATCGAAGCTTCTAAAATAGTCGTAGCTGGAGAGCAACAAACATCAGTCAATCTAAAATCGGACACCGGAGTAGGAAAGAAATTGCCAGAGTCGTTTAAGCTCCCAAAGCCCCAACAATTCCTTACTGAAATGAACCCGCATTGTAGCGCTATTATACCTACTCACATGGGACTACCGGAGTAGACCAAAGCAGCAACACACTGCAAAATCATGCTGGCAAAACTAACACCGAATGAGAACAAACCAGAGCAGAAATATCACAGAGGGGACCCTTGCAACCAGAACCAGTGACTTACCACCTCCGACATCAACACAAAATAGACAATCTGGGCATGGAGAGCACCGTTACCAGAGACCAAAACTAGTCCAGCACCGGAGAAAAAGACACACACAGCTGCATGAGAGAAACCAACAAAGTAAAGCAGCAACCAGGTACTAGAACAAGCCGATGAGCTCTAAACCCACCATTCCTTTCACCACTATGATTGGAAATTTCTCTCTCTAGAGAAAATCTAGAGAGAGAGACTCTTTGCAACATGAGCTACACACCGTAAGCTTAACCAGCCAAGAAAACAGGCTGGACTAAGCTCAAACACAACCACCACCATATGCGTTGAGACCAACAAAACCAACGGCAAGAAGAAAACCGGGAACGCCGATATCCTCCAAGACTGGGGGTACCAACTTCATAACATGATCTAAACTTCCCATCTTGAAGACCCAAGCTGGATAGAACAACCATGAATAGAATAACACTCTAGCCATAGTCTGAACACCATATGGCCGAACCAATGATGCATTGGAACAACACCAAAACTCAATACTCACAAACTAGTTCTATATATAGCTGGATGCACATGTCACCAACACCTTTCAACACCACCTTGGAAAAGATAAAATGGATTTTGTTGGTATAAATGCCATCAATTTTTTTTTTCAACACTCATCACTGGGTTTTTTTTTTTTAACCCTCTTCCTCACTTTTTTTTTTTTTTTTCCTTTTTATGAAAGTAGCCATGGTTGTCCTAATTTAAGCAGCCACTTACATACAACACCTCAAACCAAAAAAATATGAAGTTGTGAAGTAAAAACTATTTCAAGTTCTAACTATTCTTTGCATTATAATTTGCAACTTTTATTGAACAATTCAAAAAAACAATTTCCTTTAATTCTAACTGGGTCCGATTCATTTGACAAATTTATTTGGAGATTTGCTTTTGAAGATGTGTGTATATATATTAGTTGTAGTGCTGCTGAATGTGAATGGTGTGGCAGTGCAGTGGGTATCGCCTTGGTTTGTTGGATGAAGCGAGTGATAAAGAAAGGGAAATGAGAAGGAGATAGAGGGTGGATGGTGGTGTGGAATTGCAGGCTAGTTTTGTTGTGCGGTGAGGAAGAAATCCTGAGATAATCTGGGCAATTTCAGAAGCCTCAATGTGTTTGTTGCATATTTATATAATGAGGGGAGAGAGAAAGGGTGTTTTGGTCCAAAAGTGTAATGTTTTTGGCAGGAGAGAATGCTGCTTACACTGTTATGCTCGTGAATCTCACGCTCTGGTTAAATAAACGGATCTGTCAAAAATTACAATTTGGTATTTAGTTTAGGAGTTTAAGTATTACAAATGAAACTACAGGGAGGTTATGTATTTTTGGGACAAACCACAAGGGGTTAAAGTGTAATTTATCCAAATATTTATATAAATAAATAAACATATTGGGTGGGAGTTAAGGAAAATAGTGACTGATCGAGTGCCAGTTGAAAGGTGTTTGAAACTTGGATGATGGTCGATAAATACCGGCGAGTAGTTGGAGGAGATGGAGAAAATAAAAAATTTGTTTTATTAAGAAAAAAAATAAAATAAAATATGTTTTTTAAAAAATAAAAATAATATATAAAACAATTCTTGTTCTAATTTTCAAAAAAACAAAATCATAAAAACAGAAAAGAAAAGGAAGAATATATTAAGAAATAATTTTTCAAATTCTTGTATCTTAATTAGTTTATAAAATATAATTATATTTGAATAAATCCTATTGTTAGTACTCATTTGATCAACTAAATTTTAATTATCATATTTAAAGTATTTTATTAATAATTTTATCTTTATAAATATTTTTTAAAAACTTAGCAATCTAATGATGTAAATATTTATATTTTATAATGTAAATATTTATATTAATAGTATAAATATTCACATCATAAAATATTCACATAATCAATATAAATATTACAGCAGTGATTTAGGCCAAGTTTGAGATGTGTAAAAAAATTAAAAAGTCAAAAAGTTACTAAAAAAGTTAAAAAATTATCACTATTCACCAAAAGTCAAAAATCACGGCTACATAACTTCTAATCCTAATTTTTCCCTATACACTAATTTATACAATTTTTTAATACACATTTTTTCATAAAAAGTCAAAAAGTTAATACAAACAATCATATTTTATTCCTCAACTTTTTAGTCTAAAAAGACAAAAAGTACATTTATTTAGAACACCTCAAACGACCCCCTCAAACTTCAACCCCTACCACCCCACACACACGTGTTGAGTGGTGATTGGAGGAGAAGAAAAAAAAATAAAGTGACCAATCAAAAAAGAAAAAGGGTCAAAGGGGTGGAAGAAAAGAGAGTCCCAATCTTTATTCTAAATATTATTATTAAAAATATTTTGATAATTATGTAATAAATGCCCAAAATAAAAAACAAAGAGTTACCACCAAAAGAACAAACAAAAACCCACTACAGAATCAGAGTATCCCTTTAACGCGCTCTCTTTGCGCGTGGACAATAACGTTTGAGTTAATAGGTTACTTATAAACTCAACTATGGTTTAGAATTCTGTCAGCGTTAGGGTTTGAGTCTGGGCTTTGAGCAGCGTTTGCTTCGTTGTACTTCTCTCTCTCTCTCTCAAATTCTCTGTCTATAGAACTATGTTCTCATCTTCTCTCTCCATGTTGCAGGCTCGCCCGCTTGCTCTTGCTGGTAAGTGATTATTTGTTTAGAGTTCTATGTTGATATCTCCTTATACATTATACGCATCTGTGTTGTGTGTTTTCCATTTTGTAGAGATTAGAAATTGGGGTTTTGATAACTCATTCTTCAGTTTATAAGGGTTGCTATAGATAGAAACAATGAAAGGGTTTTTCAAATTAAGGTATAGATAATACATTTTCACCAGAAAAAACTGCTTGATTTGTTGATTCCCAGTGTACTTATTTGGTGAATTGAATAGTGCTTTGATGATGTGCCAATCTTGCTTCTAATTGGGTCAGTACTCACTAAAACAATTGGTGTCTTGATTGGTTGATCGCCTTTGCATGTATACTGTGCTGATTTTTTAATTTTTTAATTTATTTATTTTATGGCTCAAATTGGATAGAATTGCATACTCACCACCATGGTAAACTTATGATAATTTCGAATTATATAAAAACTCAAAACATTAACCTAAGCGCAAAACCCATCAAAGTTGCTTATTGATTTTGTTTAGTACGAAAGTGTTGGAAGTTATAAGAAATTAATTTTTTTTTACAACCCATGTAGCATAGTAACTAAGATTTTAGTTTCTTGCAAAAATACAAAAAAAAAAAATATTTAAATTTGTTTTTATAAAAGTAATTACTTATAATTACAATTTTGAATTTCTCTATTTTTCACCCTAATCAAATTCATACAACAAAACACGTTTTCTTTCACTTCACTTTTTACCATTTTCTTTTTAATCAAACGGACCCTACTACAATTACAACCCTTGATTTTACTTGATCTTTCATTGTTCTTTTGCTTGTGGCTACAGGGGATTAAATCCCTAACTATACATTGCTTCCCAACACTTTCTGAGACCTAATTTTACAAAAAATGTTGGCTGAACAGAGTTTTCTATTTGACGAGTGAGAGTTGTTCGACGAATTGACTTCAATCTTCTTCTCAGCCTGGTACAATCTCTTCTTCTTCTTTTGACTGATTCAGTTGTTTTTACCTCTGCTGCCCTGTCAAGAAATAGGGCACTGATTAGTTATGATGTACTGATTTTACAGCGTATTATTAATTCATGATGTATGTGATTCTCAAGTGTCTTTAATTTTAATTTTGATGTTTGTTGGTATTTATCAATATACTATTTATGTTTCCAAATGTGTATGACTTAATGTTTTTCTGACATTTTTTTATTCTTATTTTCTCATGCCTCATATACCTGTATAGGTCCATATGTACAAATGTAACCTGTGTTGCCAGAAAACACTAATACCTTAACAAATTATGTATTGGTATGCATGTTCTGAAACATGGTACACATTCGTTCAAAAACGGTAAATTTAGTGATCCAAAGTGATCTCAAAAGTTTTTTCCAATTTATGTGCTTAAATGTTAACTTAGGAGGAAAAAAATTGAAAAAAAATGAACTAAAATCTACCCTAAGATAAGTTTTGACAAGACATAAACATCAAAAAATGAGTTATAATGCTCATAGAAAATATTACATTTTATTGGATGCCTAATAGTATTTAAAAAAAAACTTCAGAAGTATCTTAAATTCTTAAGTATAATATATACAAATCTACCCCTATCATACCACATTTTAGAGCATGTGGCGTACCACGTTTCCATTCTCATTCCAGGTACCAGAACGATCTATGGTCCCAGGCAACATAGAACGTAACACACGTTTATTCTTCTAGGGCCACTTGACATCAATGTAGACTTTTCATGTTAGTTTTTCTTGTGAGTTTTAATTGTTCTTATTTTTTCATCCTTTTCTTTTTTTCAGTAAATCTCATCCTTTATGATTTTCATGATTCAGTGGATCTGGTCAAAGTTTTCCCTTTCTTATCTTAGAAGATCTGGTCAGATTTTGAAGTTCCCTTTGTTTTGATATTAATATTTTTTTGGTCTTGTGGACTCTACAGTTACTTAACTAAAATTTATTTATTGATTTATTTAATATTATTTTTTCTGAAGGGGTTGTAGAATCTCTTAATTTCAACATGTCTAGACAAGGAAAGATGGATTATAGAGAAAGTTCTGGCTAGCCTAGCTTCTGCAACAACTCATTGACTCGCTATCTCTTAAGCATGCATGATGCATGGTAACATGTGTTGTTTGTGATGGATGTGGTTATTTTCCTGGTAATGATACCCTTGAAGTGAATTGTTTGTTAAATTAGAGATTTGTTTTCAGTGTGTGCATGGTGTTATATACAGTTTGAACGCTTTTAGATTAATTTGGCACTTTTCCTATTTTTGGACAGATAGAATAGAGAGGTGAAATGAGAATTCCATCCAAGATATCCTTTCTGTTGTTTGGGTGCGTCCAAAAGGTGGAATGTAGTTCTAGGTTACCTTCCCAATGTGGGATGGGAATTTCATTCCCACATCCCACTATGTGAATGTCGCATTCTTGGAGCATTCAAGTGTTAAAAAAAACGGCGCACATTATTTAAAATTTTATAATTTTCCTATATTGAATTCTTGAGTTGTCCAAACAATTGAATTGTATGAACTTCAGAATCTTTTTACTAGCAATGGGATTCCTGTAGTTTAGGTTTTCATAGTTGTTCATTGCCTAGGTTCCCGTATTCAAAAAATTTCGTATTGTTTTTTGACTGAACTTTTTTTTGCTATGATTATTCCAATTGTTTGTTGTAGTTTTTGAAGTTAGCCCATTTTTCTTTTTCATTTTTTAATTTATTTGCTTATATTGTTTCTTTGTGTTAAAGATTTATTTATTAATTTTTAAAAATAATTTTTTCCCTTTTGATATAATGCTGAATCTTGAGTTTTCTCTTCACTGATGTTTAAATGTGTACTCAGGTTGGTCGTTTAAGATTAATGGGAAGTTACAAGGTGCAAAGCTAGCAATTGCCAATGTATTCTAAGCGATCTGGTGAAGGTGTTGGACCTGTTTCTAAGCCAGTACGGACGAGTGATAGGCTCAGGAGAAGGCCAAAGATATATGGCCGCCCATACCTGTATTATGCTCCAGCCATTATTCGCCCTAAGAGAAGCAAGACAAAGACAAGAACAGCAGCTTCTCAGATTGCCAAGATGTTGCGCCCTGGTAATCGGCCAGTGCGAGCCCCAACCAATGATGTACGTGCTTATGTAAAGTATTTATTTATTTATTCTTCTCCTGTACTGCTTGTAATGTCTAGAGCAATTTAAGGTAAAGGGAGTTCTTTTTGTGTGATGAATTTGCAAGTCTTCATTTATCTCGGTGAAGATGCACATTAATTTACATTCTTGTTGTTCTGATAGTTATAAATTTCATTTATTGATTGATAATGAATTGAAATATTTTTACATTCTGCTAGCATTTAAAAGCACGAACAAGCCATTGAAGAGTATGCATCTAGCATTTCCATAGTTTCTTTTCCCTATGCATTTGGTGTATTTACTTGACGTGGAGTTGAACACCATGCTAATCCTTAGTACATATTTGCTTGGTTTGACGGTCTCCACATCTGTGGAAAGAGGGAAACTTGGGAGCTCTTTGCAGTTGTAGACTGTCTTCACTGGTCTGGAATGATACATTTTGGTGCTTTTTTATTTTTTATTTTTATATGTGCACTTATTTTGGTGGCATTTGTATTACCTTCTTGTTGTGTACATACAGATTGCCATGCTTTGAGCCTTTGACTGTTTGGCGTTTCATCCTTATGCAACTGCTAGATATATGCCTTCTTTGTGTAGTGAGAACTTAACCTTTTTGCAATTACTTGATAATTTGTTCTCATACGTCAGTCAGTTGCGACCAACCTTCGGCGTTCTACAAGGAAGAGGAGGATTTCTGTAAATCTGGAAGATTACACAGATAGTTCTGGAACGGAGGACAATGACCTAATGGTAAGGTTTTATCCTCTCCTAAGCATGCATTATTTGTATAGGCTAGTTTTTAGCTTGGCTTGAGTGTTTCAGAGCTTCCTGCTTTCGCAGTACTGTCTAAGACAATTCATTATCTGGGAACTGAAGTTCTGTGTGATCTTGTTTCAGAGACCTACATATCGACGTTCCAGGAACCGGATCGATAATAGTGCAAGTCAAGATGATTTTTCATCTCATAAGCGTAAAAAAGTCCTCGAGACTAGATCATTGCCTCGGCGAGAAGGATTGCGACCTCGCCGTTCAAAAGCAGTTGCAAGAGAACAATTAATTATAGAATCTGATGATGAACAGGATACTTCTGATGAGAAGGTTGGCCAAGATGAAACCGAAAATGGGAATGATGTTGAGGATAATGA